TTTGTTACACTTTCAGAAAAAAGCTGATTAGAACTTTATTTTCATCAAGAAAATGTAATCAGGAGTGTGTGACAGCCATGCTGTGGGAAGCGCAGAAGTAAGCGTTTGTTCTGGTCTTTGATAAGCTCTGAGTAGCTCATTTAGAAAAATCATTTGTAGATCATTTCTTTTTCTTGTTGTATTTCAATGGACTCGGTTAGCAGTTCTCTGCTAGGCAAGTGCCTTGTGTTTTTGGAGCTGCCTCATTTTGTCTGTATTTATGTAGTTTAAACTTTATTTTCTTTTATAAAGCAAAAATATTCAGCCATCATTTTCACACTGAAAAGTGAAATTCTAAACAATTGGTCACGTGAAAGTGTGGAAACTTTCGTTTTCTTTCCCTCTGAGAATCTGTGTTCAAGACAGGGTCTTCAAATACGTTACCTTTGTTTTTCCTCATTGCATCTGTTTTTTGTTTCCAGTTCATGAAGCACTTCCTGAAACATCATTTCTGTGACTGTGATTTGATGTGTGCCTTTTGATTGAGTGGCTAACTTTAATCAGCAAGTTCCACAAAGTGTGTGTCATTACTGGCACAAAGTTGAACACCTGCTTAAGTGACTGGTTAGAAGGCCCTAAGACAGGATCTAATATGAAACCTGTTCTAAAATTGTAGTTGTCATTAAGGATTTGATTTTATCTTCATAAGATTGTACTTATGGCTGGGATTATACCATTTGCTGATGCTTTAGTGGGAAGAGCTTTTTTTAGTGAAAGATGAATTGATGATAATTTCCTAGAGGTTCACATTAACAGAAATCAGTGTCACCGAGAAGAAAACCTTTTTTTTTTACCCAGAGCTCAGTGTTCATAATGTGGCTGCAGACATATTCTAAAGGGAGTGTAGACTCTTTAATAGTAAGCCCTGTTCTACATGATAGTAGTCTTGCATTTTTAGTTAGTTTTGGCAGACCTCCTCAAAGTGCACTCAGTGCAGCAGTGGGGTGGTTGTAGATCAGTAAGAACTTATTTCTACCCTCATTAAGTCTCGTGGCTGAATGCAGTTAGACTTAACTGGAAGAGTAGGGTTTTCTTCGTAGAGACTGAGGGTTTTGATGTTCTTTTAATGTAAAAAAAACCCACCCCTAAAACAACAAGCACTTGAAAAGATTTAGTTTAGACAGTAGGAAGAAATTCTTCACTACGAAGGTAGTGAGACACTGCCCTGACAGTATTCAAGGCCAGGTTGGATGGGGGGGCTTGGAGCATGGAACAACCTGCTCTAGTGAAAGGTGTCCCTGCCCATGGCAAGGGTTTGGAACTGAATGAGCTTTAAGGTCCCTTCCAACCCAAACCAGTCTGAGATTATAAGAAACAAAAGCCAAGGGTCACCTCATGCATGTGTGCATGGAAGCAGCTTTGATAGAAATATAAAAATGAGGAGGGTGACGGGGGTAACCACAAAACCAGAATTAATCAGTCTCAAACGTTGATTTATTGGTGTTAAACTATTTGTTGCAACATGGAGGGGGAAAACATGTAAACCAGTAAAATCAGTCTTTAGGTAAATACCAGTATAGGATCCAATGATTTTGAGATGTTTGTTAGCGTATACCAAATGAGGATTATGGTCTTTTGTTAAATTTTTCTGCTGTAAAGATCATTCTTCCATCTCTCCAGAAGTACTGAGAAGGTTTAAGTGGAATGCTTTTGGCCTTTGCAGAACAGAAGGCACTGACATTTTGCAGGATAATTTTTCCTACTAAGTTATAAATTAATATTTGGGTTACTAGTTCAGTAGTACAGTATAAAATAATTATCTGTGCTCCTGTAAAATGCCCGTGTCTCAAAGTTCCTAAAATACAGTCCACATGGCTGCTATAAGAAAAAGTAAGCAAAGCATGAGGGGGGGAAAATTGAACTTGGCTGAGAGTCAAAGCCTTGTTAAGCTGTGTGTCAGGAAAACAGACACAAAATTGGAAGGAGAAGAAAGTAAAGAATATAATGAAAATGTTCTTTTCTCCTCTTTCCAGTTACCTGTCTTCTTTTCTTATACACACGCACTTGTTGAACTTGTATGTAAATGATTGATTGACTCAGTGAACTCATTGTAATAAATTATGTTTGATGTGCTATCTTGAAAAAACATCTTCTGAAATTCTGTCTCTTCTCTTTGTCTGCTGACCTTGTGGCTTTTAATATCTTGTTTCCCATCTGTCTGATTCCATCATAAGCTGGGCATAACTTTTCAGGCCTTAATGCAGCTTTCTTTTTGTTCTGGTTTAAGTAAGTATGTAACACAAATATGTGATTTGGCCGTCATCAGTAATATCAGAAAGGAATGTTGAAGTGTGTGTTCTCCTCATTGAAGTGAAATAAAGAAACATCTGTAGATATTTGATAATACATATTTATGGTGCATAGATCTGTCTCTACAAGCAAATGAATACAGAGATGTCTGTATCATTGTATTACATCTGCTTTAATGTTACAAGTCCATGGGTTACTTCTAAGGATTAGTTCTTAATTAAAGGAGAAAAGAAATGGGTCTATAAGGTTTCAGGAAAGCAGTTTTAAATATAGATGTAAAAATACTTAACTGACTATGTAATACAGAGGTACCCAAACTTCATTTTGAGAGACTGTTTGTACTATACATACTTGTACTGCAAGAAGTGTCTCTAGCAGAGAGGTTCTCATTGAGTATTGAAGTACAGGGGAATTTGGAGAAATAGACATTTGTTGAAAACACTGTTTTCTGTATGATATCTATAGAAATATTTGGGTAGGATATCTTTTCTTATGTTTATAGTTCAGCAGTTTGCTTAACAACTGTAAGGGATAGTTAGATACTTGTGAAGAATTTCAGATATGGAACTAATAACTCCATTTCTACAGTGTAGAATTTAAGCAAATAAATGGAGTGAAATCTTGGCTCCATTCTATTTGATATCAGTATCTTAGGATTTGTGTTTCCCTAGGTTTTAATTCACTGTGTCCCTTCCAGGGTAAAGTTTGGGGTAATGTTTCTTTCCAGAAATGTGCAAAGTTAAATGCATATATCACAGGGGGCATTCTTTTGTCTTTAAAAGTAAAAGCCTGATGTACTGGATGCATCCTACCTGTCAGTGAAATTTGTGTGGAATATAGCAGCTGCGTAGTGTCACACACAAATACAGAAGAATATCTAATGATTAGTATTTCATCACCATTGCAAAGCCATTTGCTGTTGCAGAAAAAATATCACTATGGAGTGTGACCCCAAACTGAAAAATGACAGGAACGATGGGTCTAGGGTATGTGTTATTAATCAGTAACACACGTTTGTGACTCATTAAATTCTCTCTGAAATAACGGTGTGTTTCATTCTATGCTGCTGAGGAAAGTTGCAAACCAGAAGAAAAAGTTCTTTCTATGTAGTCCCAGCTCCATTTCCTTAATTGCTGATATTTTCCTTGGGGCTGAAGGACAGACTAGACATTGTTCAGCGTTTCAGCTGAATGAAGTGACACTGGGCTATAATAAAGTCCAGCTGAAATCCAACTACAAAGTGTTTTCCAAGAGTACTCAGGAATAAGGCATTGTGTTTGTAGTCAGCATATATGGGTATACTTTTTGGCAGCAGTTAGATTTTTATTTGCTGTATTTTTTCCTAGGTTTTCTGCTGGAATAAATCACTGTATCAGTGGTGTACAGTTAAATATTTGCTTTAAATGTGAGAGTGACACAGTCATATTGCCTCTTAAGCAAATACGGAGAAAGGAGAAGAAAAGGAAACTATATTCTTTTTCTAGAAGTTTTGATATAATTCATATATTGGAATTTGGTGAACTCTGAATTAATTACTGCATGTTTTGTTGTAGATTAGACTGATGAATAGGCAGAGAATAGTGTGAACACTTGGATCATCATAGAACATTTCTTCCATCTAGGGGAAAAAAAGAAAGAAAATAATATTATTTGAAAAAATGACCACATGCCCTGTTGTTTAGGCAGTAAGTTGCACTTACTGGCACACCTAGTTAACAGCATAAATCAAATACATTGTTTCTGGTGAATTACTGATAACCTTGCATGCTAACTGTGGTGCTTTATTGTGTTCTGTGGGTTCTGCTATAATCATGTATATATACTATATTCTCTTGAAGAAATAAGAGAAAAGAGTCTGCCATTGCCCATGGCAGAGGGGTTGGAACTAGATGATCTTAAGGTCCTTTCCAACACTAACTGTTCTATGATTCTATGATAACAGAACCACTGATTTTCATGAATTATTGCATCATAAATGTTAAATTTCTTTTTCTTAATATATATTCATGCTTACACACTATATATTTAACCCCTCAAATTGTGGTTACTAAATTAGCATGCCATTTTTTTCACAAAATTAATCTTTTCCCAGTCCTCTCTGTCTGACTAATAACTTGACAAATCTCTCCTTATCTTCTAATGGCAGATGATTTATCAAGGCCTACCACTTAATTAATATTACAGAACATGTGGGGAGCTGAAGAATTCAGAAGTATTTTCCGTAGCTTGGACACGTAAAATGAGAAGCATAGGAGAAAGCAGAAAGATAATCTTGTAACTGAGAAAAAGCCTTTGTGATTTAAGCATGGGATTGAGGTTCAGGAAATGGTGAGTTGTATCCCACAAATCCATCATGCTTCCCACTAGGCTTTGGACGAGACACTGGGTTTTTTTCTTCGCTACAGTTGACTGTTCTGCAAAATATTTAGGGTAATACTGTCTTACATCTTATTAGGGTAGTTCAGGGTTAGATTTGTCTAGCATTACTAATGTTATAGAACATGTGTTATTGGGTTGTGCTTACACAAGCACTTCCATCATATAGATGTAGCTTGATTTTTTCATATTGAAAAGTGTTTGTAATATATAAAGGATACTTTTGCGACAGATATTTTAACTCATGTATCTGAAACACGTATAAATAGACAGCAATCTCCTCGAAGTTGTCCATGAAGTTTCAGCTTTCCTGAGTACTTTTTCTCCATTTCCAGGTTGCATGTCTCACTCATGTAGCAGCTAATTACCTTAATTGCAAAATCGAAGGAAAACGCTGGGGTACTGCTCACGGGAGTATTGTTCCGTATCAGGTAAGCAGAAAGCATTAGGTTTTCTTGCTCTTGAAATTCATGATTTTTTGTATTATGAGATTGAGAGCTGACTTACCTTTCCCATGACCTGCTGTAGTCTGTAACATGTCTGTGTCTAGGTAGGACAAGGTTCTGTTGTTCATTGTCATTTCTGCATTTTGCATATTTCTTCGGCAGCGGAAGATTAGTAACAGAACACTGAAGTAGATCAAAGGTGTTTGCTGAAATCGGATGACTTTAAAGCTGGTGTGATGACTCGATTGGTTTTCACCTGACAGAAAAAGCTTTTTTTCTTTTCAAAGGGTTACCTGACTTCCATACAGTTATAAACTGAAATCTTTTGCCTGTGAATTTGGGTAATTTTATTTAGTGAGTCTACAAGAACAATCCAAAATGACCATGACCATGGGAGAGTCTACAGATTTGTAATCTTCTGTTGATTTTGCTACAAATCACTGTGGCTCAGTGAGACAACAGGTTGGCAAAAGGGATTAACCAGACCTCAGATCTCCTCAGCAGAACTCATAGTCTGCTAGATCTAATGAAGGGTTGAAATTCCTTAAAATAACATGACCTTCATCATATAAACAAGCACAGGAAAAAAAAATACTGGAGGTTTTATCTTACTTCTGGGTAGTCTGGGAAACTCTTCCAGTAATCGGAGAAAATTTTGTTCTTTTCTAGCTGACCGTTTTGTGTTCTTGATAGAAGTCACGTTAACTTTTGGAGACTTGGGCGTATGTTTCATTTAAAGAATCTGTTCTTTATTTCATAATTTTTGGTACTTCTCATCAAATAGGCATGTTTGCAAGTAGCTAGGCAGAGATTTCTTAATTTCTGGATGGAGTCCTTTGAATCCTGAGAGGGACAGTTCCCAGCATTTGTCTGGGAGAACTGCACCTAAACACCACTCAGTTTCTTTACTATCTCCTTTCTTTTAGAGAAAGTGAGGGAAACTGGAGGTGTTCGCTTCCGCCCAGTGGTGAAGATGGTGGAGATTTATAATACTACAAGATCTGTTGCTTGTAACTCTGAAGCAAAAATCTTCCATCACTGCCTAGTGTCACAGCCAGGCCTCCGCAGGTCTAAAACCAAAACCAGGGTGTTTGTTACATCTATTTTTCCAGTATCACTGCATAGGCCACTGTATTGTTATGAATTAGCTAGCACTGATTGCACGTCATCTCAGACTGATGGGGGGATTCTGTGTCTCTTTCTTTAAGCATGAGTTTCATCCTGCAGTGTTGTTTCAGCTATGAACATGCTACTCTCTGGTTGGCATGATGCAGTAGTACAGCCATGTTCTCTAGAACCAGCTCTGAATGACCGACCCACTGTAACCAGGCATCCACTACACAAATAGTTACATTCTGCTGTATTTCCATTTTGTGACCTTTTGGTGCAGTGCTTTTTGAACTTAACGATGTTGAAAGTATAAAACAGATCTGAAGTGTCTGAAGTTTGTATAAGCAAAACCAAACCTGACTAAACACAATGTTTTATCTTCAGCACACTGCATTTGGCTGAGTAAATGAAACTTCTGTTCTTTTATGTCCTTTTGCCTTTTGTTTTTCCACAATCTAAATGAAAAGCGTCCTGTGTTTCTTTTTTCATAGACAGCTCTATAGATATGCAAAATGTATGGAGGTTGTTTTAGTTCTCATTTATTCTAGATAAGTCAATATATAAATAACTTTTCTTTAAATCCTACCTAAACTATGGTTCCTGTGTTTCTGAATGCTGTTTCTGTAGTAGATATTTGAAATATTACCTCAGTATTGTAAACAACTTTGATATGAATTTTCTTGTTCATGAAACAGTAATTAGGGTGGACTTACTATGGGTGGAGTTTGTGTGTGTGTATTTGTGGCTCATCTGTTAACATTCCATCAGCTAGCATGGTTATAATTCTGATTGTAACCATAAGTATATTATGCTTTCTAGAGTTTATTTTTTGCTTGACTAACATAAGCTATACTTACACTGCAAAGCACTTCAGAAACTGGAATTAACCCTCACTGTTGCTATTGTACTGCTTTTATAGTTGCTTCCATAGCTCGTTAGTAAAACAGTTTAGAGCACAACACTGATACCTGATTTTCTTCCCTCATCCTAGTTATTGAATATACTGTCTTTTGCTCACTAAACTAATATGCGACTATCATGATGCTAATTTTTACTAATAAATGTGGATTTGGGTTGGGTTTTTTTTGTGTGTTTCAAGATCTTTTGTGCAAGTGAACTCTTTAATTTGTTCAAATAATGAAAAACACATTTCAGAGAATTGAATTTCTCTGTATTTCAGAACTGGGTATGTGGTAGCGAACTGTTGGTGGTTTTTCTTATGTCCTCAACTTCATTTTGTTTTCATTTGCTCTATTTTGAGTTTTCACACAGGTAGTAAATTATAACTTTGAAGTGATACAGGGCCTACAGTTCTGCCAAAATGTGTCAGACTATGTTAAATCATGGAAGGCTGGGTAAATATGAGAGAGCCTTTTATAGATATTAAAAAGGGAAAATCTAAGTCATTTACATCATCTTTCCTTGGGACAGAAGTCTGATCAGAGTATAGACCAAAATGTGATAAAAAATGTGCTGAAAGCATCTGAAATGTGTACATAAATAGTGCTTTTTTCCTTACAGTTGTTGCAGTAAGTGTTCTGATGCCGTATTTAACACATTCAGTGTATACCAAGTGCTATTGTAATTTCTATTTTATTGAGCTTCAGTTGAAAAATTTTGTTCATAATATCTTTGCAAATGGCTCTGTTGTTTTCTATTTGCAAGGCCGAAATTAGCTTTGAGTGTGTCTGTAATTTCGCTGAATTCCTTATTGCTTCTTGACTGGAAAACTAGCAGGATAATTTGTCCCTGAGTGTGTTCTCTAGATTGACCTTTCTTACTATTCCTTGTATTTAGACACATGAAAATTAAGCATTAATGGACAGCTAGGTTTTCTCTTTCCTGAAACTGCCAAGAAACAGAGCACCTTTGAAAATCTAGATCTGGTCTGAGCAACAAGCTCGTAGCGGAACAGATGCAAAGTTTGGTGTGCAAGGGGGTTTATACTCTTGTCAGGTTTTTGTCTTTTGCTGATAATGTGCTGACTGTGGTGTGATCGACACAGAACTCTCAGAACCCAAAGAAAAGGATTTGAACTTCTTTGGAGTGTACAACATCTTTCAGGGTCCTTGCAAAGCTGTCTGTAAAGGTTTGCCATCGGTTTTCAATGGAGGTGAACTTTGCAAAGGTGAAGAACTCTAGATTCTAATCAGCCAAAATCAGGGATAGATTTTTGAGTGCTGAATCCTTCATGAGAAATTATCTACATTGAGCCTATCTGCTTTTTAATCAGAGCAGTGTAGATTGAATAGGTTAATCCTGTGATGGTGCGTGTAATCAGATGCCAGTTTGCTTGGTTTCAAGTGTTAAAACACAAGCCTTGAGTTCTGGGCTGGATCTTCAGCGTAATTAGTGCAATTTTTTTAAACAAGTTTCTATAATGAGACACCTTGTTTAGATACAGCTGCTCCATGATTATCCGGAGGAAATCAGGGGCTTAAAAGCATCCGGTTTACATAAGTGTGCTAAGAAGTTGTATTACTGTCTTTCATTGGGGGCGATAAGGTCTTCCCTCATTCTTGTGGTTTCAGCAGTGTAGCTGTCTTGCTTGTACCACATGTAAGATGTAGATACTCATTTTTTTGTCTTCCGTGTTGCCCGACTCAGAATAGATACTCTCCAGAGAGTCTGTTGTGACCTGCATGTCTACAGGATGTCTCCTGTGGCAGCTCATCACCCTGCCATCAGACACCCGGGCAACTGGGCAGTGCTTTCAAAGGCAGACTTTGAGCAAAAGGCATAGGGCTGCTTTAACTCAAGTCAGAATGATGAAAACCTCTGTCAATTTGGTAGTATTTCTGTTCCAGCTTTGGTCCTAAGTCCTAAAACTTACAGGGTCTTCTCAAGTGTACTTCAGCGTATTTCCTGAATATGCAAAGGGTACAAATATTCTGCACAGAAATTGAAACCACAGGATAACTATCATCATAACTTATCAGACCCTACATTAATGTGTTTTATATTAGAATATCACGCAGATTCTTTAAGGATTAACTTTTTGTTGTGCTAGGCATAAAATTTCCTTCATATGAGGAATTTTTTTCTGTCAAGCCCTGAAATGTGTTATGAAAGAGGGTAGATTTAGATTAGACATTAGGCAGAAGTTCTTCCCTGTGAGGGTGCTGAGGCGCTGGCACAGGGTGCCCAGAGAAGCTGTGGCTGCCCCATCCCTGGCAGTGTTCAAGGCCAGGTTAGATGGGGCTTGGAGCAACCTGCTCTAGTGGAACGTGTCCCTGCCCATGGCAGGGGGTTGGAACTGGATGAGCTTTAAAGGTCCCTTCCAACCCAAACCATTGTGTGATTCTACAATTCTATGAGAATTAAAGTATAAGCTCACAAGGGAGTGAAAGATACAAGGTAGTTGGAAGATGTGTATAGTCATAGTTTTTTATTTTAAATTTTGAATAGTTTTTAACATTTGCATCTCATGCTGTTTGCCTGTGGGATCTCATCCTATCCAAGAGTCTTACAAAGAAAACCTCACTCTTCATGTCTCATCACAGAGAAATGCAGGAGGTTCTTAGTTACCTGATTCATCTGGCAGAGATGCTTTTCACACAAAGGCCCAATGTGTACCAACTTTCCTTACTTAGCTCTGGAGAATTGCACAGAACTTTTCATTACTCTTCTTGGGTTTTGGGTTTTTTTTTTTGGGGTTGTTTTTTCCTACTCCAGAATGGTGATGTGTAGATGTTTTCTTTTCTGTGGTTTTATAAAGGTAGGTCTGCAGTTAATGTGTCTTGGAATCAAAATCAGCAAAGAATAGAACTTGGATTGTTCCGAGAATTTTGTTTTGTGCATGAAACTCTCCTTCCTAAGTCCAAAATGGATGTTACAAAAGATCATTCTGCTCTGTAATGGCTCAGTCTAGGAGA